GAGCGGTTGGAAGGGGACCCTGCCAGGGGCTGGAAGCACGCAGAGGTCTCCGCGCACGCACAGACATGCGACAACTGCGTACCCGCGCGCCTCTACTTCGGCCCACACTGAGGGTTCTCCAAGGAGCCGGGGGTCTGCCTGCTTGGGTGGTGGGCCAGGCTGCCGCAGGGAGAGCGGCGGGTGGACGTAGTATAGGAGAGGAATTATAAAAGAACCACACTTATTAGACTAAAAAATCAAATTCGCCTAAGGATCCCGGTAGTTAAAAATCCACAGCTGTCATTTGGAGGGAAGGCGTCCTGGAGGCGGCCGCTGGGCGGGGAGCGCACTCAGAGCTGGAATCATAGCGGATCTGGGCTGGGGGGACAGTGAAGCATCGCTGCTTCTGAACGGGTTCTTTTCGCAGGGGGCGTGAAGAAGGTGACATCTTGTCGGTTTGGGGATGATTTATCCACCCGTGTCGTAAAATCTAAAATGACGCCCCTGGGAAGAAGGAGGAACTCTAGGGACCCGTGCGATGCAAGGCTGCCCGCCCGACGCCCTGGCGCTCTGAGCTGCGCGCGCCGCGTGAAGTCGCGCAGCTAAAACTCCAGGCTGCGCGACGTCCATCCAGCGCGTGGGAGGAGAGCTGCGAGTCTGGGAAACGGCTTCGTCCGCAGCACGAACGGTGGGGGAAGTGATTCTCCGTCTTCCAGAATTGGGGATCTGGAGCCCCAGTGAGTTGGCAGCCTGGGGCTCAGATTTCACTGGCCTATCTCCCCACAGCTTCGAACTGCAAACCAGCCTTCACCCCAAAGTGGATGGGACTCACTAGACTGTCAGTTTCTCCAAAATTTTAAGAGGAGGAGGCCATCCCGGGCCCTGCCCCTGCCTGTGAAAATAAACAACAGGTTTCACCACCTCTTCTGTGGCCTTGACATTCTGCTTAGGGGACTCGGTGACCTCCCTTGATCCTGGATTTCACCTCCCCGTCTACAGAGAAAAATTTCCAGGCTACCCTTAAAACGATATATTTTATTGGCTTCCTTCCTGATTCGAGATAATTGAGGTCCAAATTCAGAGTGCCAGCAACGGCTCCGGGGTCCCAGGGTGGTGCCGCATAAGAAAATTTCTGGCGCCACAGCTGTTTGCAAACGCTGAGACTCTCGGGGAATGGATATTATTGTGATGGGCATTCCAACTGCGGAGCGCCCTAGAAAATGTTCGCGTCCTCCTGGGTGTTTTTTTTTTTTCCGGGGAAGAGAGAGGTTGGTGGAGCTGGGCCCGGGAGAGCGCGCTGGTGGATTGGGCGGGCAGTGCCTTCGCGCCGCGTTTACACCTCTCGCTTTGTGACAAATCGATTTCCCGCGCCGCTGTTCTGCATTTGCATCCCGCCGCGGCCGGCCCAGCTGCGCCCGGTGCACGCTTAGCGCCGCTCGCGAGTGTGTGCGTGTGCGCGCGCGTGTCTAATTGACTTTCCGTCTACCTTTTTATGACTACATGTGTTTCCAACAAAAGGTCTTATTAGGACAATCTGGTTTCACTAATTTAGAGTTTGGGAACATGGAAGGCAGGCGCGCTTTTTTTTTTTTTTAAGAGTTTGCAGAAGTTCAGATTAAGAAATGACAGCGGGATGCTCTGTCCTAGGAATAGATCTGCGTACTTTTATGACCTGTTCCTCTTTCCCCTCCCAGGCTCGCACCGTTCCATCACCACTCCCATTCACACTCCACACTCCACCAGCAGCCGCTGGATCCCTGACAGTATTAATGGAACGTTTCTTTAAACACTTAAGGTGCTTGAACCCAGAAGTTTGAGAAATGTGTTAGGCTGGAAGAATCAGTAAAAGGGGGAAGAAACCTTTCAATAGAGAGGACAGTGGGGTGCATATCAACTAAGAGGGGAGACGATTGCTGATGGGGTGGAGGGGCGGGCTCAGCAGAAACCTTCACTTTGGAAAACACCTAGCTCCTCTTCGCTGCACTCGGCCCAGGTTGTAATTCGAAATTTTGCAAAATCAAGAATCTAATAGTGAAGGCGCAAGTGGAATTTGTTTTGCTGATTGTGGCTGAAAAGAAAATTTAGAAAGGAGAAGGATAAGGACTATTTCTATATAGCTAAAAGAGTCAAAGGCACTTTTCAACATTTCTCGTCTTTCCAAAGTAGACAATCGTTTCCCACTCGAGCAGATTTCCAACCCGGCGCAAGAAGCGCTGGACTCCTGGTGCCACCCCTCAGTCCCTTGCGGGCCCAGAGCCGGTTCTGTCCCTCATCTGCCGGAGACTCCCCTCTTCCCTGGTTGCCGGTCTGATCCTCGCTGTCCACCGCGGGCTGGAGGCTCCGCGCTGGCCCACAGGGCCTGACTTACACGGAGCTCACAACAGCTTCCTGGGCAGCTCTTGGGGAGGGCCCAGGAACTAAAGATGAGGGTCTTCCTGGACTTGCTTTCAGGCAGCTGTTAGAAACTCCCATTCTCATTCTGGAATTGTTAGAAGAATAAGCCCCCAGCTACCTCTCATCTCTCTGGGAGGCAAGGCCTGGGGTGTGTGTGTGTGTGTGTGTGTGTGTGTGTGTGTGTGTGTGTGTGTTTCTGAGCTACATTCCCAACTCCAGGTGCTGGTCACTTTGTCCCATCATCTCCTTCTGCATTCTGCGACCTCCCGGGCTGTCTGTTGACCGTCTTTCCCCGTGCATCTTCACTCTGGCTGGCTTCCCAGCCTCAGTTTCCTTTTGGAGGTTCTGTCCCCCCATGAGGCCTTTCTACTCCTTATATCTCCAAGATGGGCTTGCGTACCACACGGGCAAGTTCCTGGTCTCCTGCCCCTCTCCCGGGAACCGCCGCTGAGCTTGCCCTCACGCATCCCAGCGGACGCCGCGTGCGTGACACAGCCCCCGCGGCGCCAGGCCCAGGTCTCACAGGGGCCATTCCCGAGGAGGCCCGAGCGGCCTCCAGACCTGCTCAGGGGCTCACCAAGTCCAGGACGAATCCCAAGCTCCCTTCTGGCGTCCACTCGGAGCCAAACAGGTACCATCTGCATCATGCAGGTACCATCTGCATCCCTCCAGCCCCGAAGTTGCCGGCGCTGACCGTGGCCGCCGGCTTGGGTCCCGGCTGGCCTGGGCCGCCAGCCTTGGCCTGCTTTTCTCATCCCTCCGCCTCCCCAGGGGGCGAAGCGACACTGCCAGGTCTCTCTCCTGCCCCACCCCGCTCTACGCAGAAGTCACTTTGTGGCCCTGTTTTCTGTTGCGGGTCCAGCCTCTAGTTCTCCAGTGATAAATGTTTCGATTAATAATTAGCCATGGCGAAACAGAAACGGCTGACGGTGCAGAACTGATGAAACTGTGGTCCCGAATACTATTCTCTCTACTTTTTGTATGTTTTACATTTTTCTAGTAGTAGTTTTAAAATAATCATAGTATTTCGCAGTGCGTTTTGCTAGAGCTAAAAGTGCCTACGCTAACAATTTAACTACTGCGCAGCGTCCCAAGCACCCAAACCCAAGCACAACGTCTCTGCCTCTGCGCCTTGCTCTGACCCCGGACTTGGGGACAGCGACTCGTCATTCCTCAGAGTTGGCCGCCGCCTTTCTCTAGTGAAAGGCTAGGCCAGACCTCCTCACCCAGCCCCTGCCGCCCTCTGCGAGGAGTGAGGAGTGCATAGGGTGGATGGGTCTTATGCCGATTTGGGCTAAAGACTTTGAGGGGCGCCCAGGCCTGAATTAAGGGAGCAGAGTGCGGGGCGGGCGCCCAGAACTCCACAGAGGCTTTCCTTTCGGGTTGCTCTAGCTGGGCCCGCCAGGCTCCCATCAACTGTGCCCAGGCCTTGTTTCCAGTTGTTTCTGAATGCAGTTTGCTTTGTACGTCTAATTTTTGAGTCTCGCATGGACTATGTTTTGTGAAAATCACAGACCGTTGGTGCCCCTCCTGGTTCCATAGGTTCCAAATTTGAAGAAAAAATGGTAATCAGCAAATAATGGCATATAAAGCGATCAGCCTCATTTTAGAACTTCTAGCTAAGTTCAGACTCTGCCAGCCTCTAGGAGGACAGGGAATATCTGCGTGTATCCGGCCCCACGTCACCTGGGATGAGCCAGGTGACAGGTCTGTTACAGACGGGGGAACACAGGGATACACTTGCAGTTAGGTTTGATGGCACGGTTAATAACTCAGGTGAATTTTTGTGGGGCGCGAAATCTGCAATTGAGGAGGAGGAAGGGAGACAGCGTGGACTTTTCTGGAGGTTTAGGGGCCAATAGTGAGAGCTCCTCAAATGTGACATCGGCCTGGGTATTGAAGCCTGCGCAGCCCGGAAGCAACTGTGTGCGGGAGCCTGCGGGGGCAGGATCTCGGGTTTCAGCCCTAGAAGACATTCCTTTCTCTTGGTCTGAATTTGCCCAAGTCGCCCGAGCTTTTCATTTTGCTGGGGTCTCCGGCCCGCCTGAGGTGGAGGCGACAGCAGGGGGCAGAGAGCAGCTCCGGCAGCTGGGGCTGGGCGGACCCTCACGGCCTCCGGGCGGGCGCGCCGGACCTCGGGTGCCCGCACGGAGTGTGCAGCGGCAGCGCGGGTCCCGCTCCCGGCGCGCGCCCCCCGGGAAAAGCCCTCCGCGCCCGGCTCAGCATCGTGAACCCGCTGCTTTCCCAAACAGGGCGAGCTTCCGAGTTTGCGCCCTTTTCCCAGCCGGGCCTGGTCGCCCCGCCTGCGCGAAGGCCAGGCATTCGCTCCCGCCCGGGGCCGAAGCGGAGTCGGAGCCCGGTCGCCGCAAGCCGGAGACTGCGGCGGGCAGTTTCTGCTCGCAAGCGCAGGCCTCCGAGCCTCTCTCCGGCGCCCCCTCGGCTTTGCCCCCGTCCGGGCCCTCCTTTTCTTACTCTTTCCCCCTGTCTGCGACCAGCCCTTCCTTCGGCGACTGCCACCACCTCTCCCCCCCCTTCTTCCCCAGGCCCAGGTCGAGTTCCCGCCGCCCTGCGCCGGTCCCAACCCTCTGTCCTGGGCACACACCCGCGGGCATGCACCCCTCACTCACTGTCCTGCTGTGGGGTGTCACTGCCGCTAGTGAGTCCCGGAGACTCCAGCAGGCTCCGGCCCGCCTCGCCCACGCTCTCGTCCGCCTGTGCCGCCACCATGTCCCCGGCTTCCTCCAGGTCTAGCAGGTGACTGACGGAGAAGTTCTTTTTCGCCTGCAGGGTGTCGAGGTTGCCCGGGCTGTCCAAGCGGCCGCCCAGCGCCGGTTGCCGCTCCAGAACGTGCCCGTAGCTGGAGGTCATGGTCTCCCCCTCCGATCCCACCCACCCCCCTCTTCCCGCTCGAATCAACACCAAACGCTGTGGGCGCGAGGGGGGAGAGAAGCCGAGTGGGGAAGAAAGAGGGGGGAGTGGAGAGAGAGAGAGAGAGGGAGAGAGGGAGAGAGAGGGAGAGAAAGGGAGGGAGGAAGAGGGAGGGAAGGAGAGGAAGGCCAAAAAAAAAAAAAAACTGGAAAGGAGGGCGGGGGACCCCCTTCTGCAGAGCAGAGCGTTCTGCACCAGCCGCCTTCCACAGCCTTGGTTGCTTTCCTGAGGCCAAGTCCGGCGTGGTCCAAAGAGATAATCCTCACCAAAAAATAAAATTAAAAAGTCACCCTGTGTTCAAGTCAGGAGAAAAAAAAAATCCCTTCCAACTCTCCAAAAGCGTCCACACGCACACACTAAAAATAATAATAAGAGAGAGAGAGAGGAAAGGGGAGGCCAGCAGGGCGGGGGAGTTAGGCAAACAGAAGAAGAGAGAAGAAGGGGTGGGAGAGAAGAATCAAAGTGGGTTTTTTTTAAAGGTTAAAAAAGTTATTCCCAGGCAAGAGTTCAAGCACCAACAGAAGAAGGCTTGTTCCAGCTTTAAAACATCTTCAAGAAAACGTGTTCCCCCTCTCTGCACTCCTGCGGATTCTCAGGAGTGACTAAAGTTTCAGGAGGAGAGGGTGATGTCTTGCAGATGTATTAGAGAGCAGGATTCTCACTTTACTTTTTCGTAAGGAGTAAAAAAAAAAAAAATTAAAAATTAAAAAAATAGGGCTTCAAGAGTCCAAAGGAGGGTGGTGGCGGGTTCCCCCCTTTCCCTTCTCTCGCTCCCCCTCTTCTTGCTGAGCTCCTTTTTCCTTCTCAGTTGGATCAAGAAGCTCGCTGGCACTTCAAAAGGCACAAACTGGCATGCAGAGGAGGCTTTGTAGGGAATACAAGAAAATTGGAGACCCCTGGGAGGGCAGATCTCGACTTAATAGGAGCCTGTAATTACGTGGCAAAGCCTTTGTGCCGCGCCTGACGTTTTACAGACCCCCTTTCTCCATCACAATCTCCTTCTTCCTCCTTTCCCTCGGACCAAAAAAACAGTCTGATTAAGAAAACCCCCTTTGCCAACATCAGAGCTAGAGAGAAAGGGAGAGGGAGGGAGCAAGGGAGGGAGAGAGGGAGGGGGGAGGGAAGAGGGAGGGAAGAGAGCAAGGGAGCCCCTTTGGATTTTTAAAGTAAAGGTCTAATTATCATTCCCGTGCAATAGTATCAAGGGGAGAAAAGACAAACTGAAACCCACAGTCACTTCAAACGGGCTGATTATTTTGCTTCGGCATTAACTCCTCCAGATTTGTTTAAGATCCTGTTGGAAAATCGCATTTGCATGTTTTGATAACAGCTGCGGGGAAACTTGTTGGAAAAAATCCACAGCTATCACAAGCGAATTTTCTCCTCCTTCTGCTTACACCCGCACCCCTTTACCGTTCCCTGCCGTTCTAGCAGTTTTGGGGAGAGTGGAGGGAGCGTCGGAGAGAGAACGAACGAGAGGGCAAGCGCAACAAGGCTCCGTCTGGCTCCGTGGAGGCAGCCTACTAAATAATGTAATGAAATATATAACAAGAGGGACAATAACGGGAGGCTTCTCCCGCGGATTAAGGACAGGGTGGGGATCTAGAAAGCACCGAATCCATTCGAGGCTTTCCCCCGCCGCTAGGAAACTCCAGGCTGAGGCAATAGAAAATTTACATATTTATTAAGCTGGAGGAAAGGACTCCGAGTATATCATAATCGTCCCCTACTCCCACCGTGCCAATTAGTAACCTCTTTGGTGCAGCCACGGTCGTTTGCCCGGGCGACGCCGCTAAACCCAGAGGGTCCGGCCGCCGGATTCTGAGCAGACACCCGCAGTCCTGGAGGAGCGACGGGGACGCTTGCGCGCGGAGCCGCCGTCTGGATGCAGCCCGGGCGCCGAGGGGGAAGGACAGAGGGAGCCAGGACCCCATCTGAGTCTACGACAAAGTTCTGTCGTCCGTTTGCTGAGCCCTAACTAGACAGAGGACAGAGAGGTGCTGAGAGGGTTTTTTCATGACCTGTTGGAATCCGGTAACAGCTTTAATAGTCTCATTAGAAATGAGTTACTATATGACGAGTAAGTAAAATATTAAGTGCTTATTTGTGGCGTTTTATGTTCTTTAAACGCGCGCGCGCGCGCACACGGACTCCCTCATTCCCTTGATTGTTAGACTTTTTTTCTCTCTCTCTTTCTCTCTCTCTTACAGCCCAGAGGCTCGACTGGAGAGAAAGAAGGGTCGGTGTGTGTAAATGGTTTCTGGGCTCCAAACGGCCATAGTTAGCCCAGAACTTCCAGCCCTGATCTGGGAAAAGAACATTTGATGCCATCAAAGGGCTGCAGATTGAAACCAGATGTGCTCGCCTCGGTTCTTTCCATGCATTTAATTAAGGAGCCGGGATGGAGGAGACTTTTTCATCATTAGTCCACCCACTCCCCCCTCCCCCTCCTTCCACCCCTTCGTCCCCCTCCCCCTCCCCCCCGGGCCGCCTGAACCTCCGTCGGGAGCCCAGAGCCCGGCCAGCGCCGCCCGGAGCGCTGCGCGGTGGCCGGTCCCGCGGGCGGTGCGGGCTCCGGGCGCAGACGCCTGCCCGCGCGGGGCGTGGGGCGGGCGGGCAGCGTGCGCGGGGGGCGCCTGCCGTCCACACCGCCCGCTCCGCCGCCTCCCGGAGCCCCAGCCGAGCGCCGCGCGTGCTCGCGCCGTCTGCTGGAGCGGACGCGACTCAGTCGCGCAGGGAGGTTCCACCCGCGTCCTGCTCGACGCGCTTAGCCGCTTCTCCCTTCCCCGCCTCGTCGCGGCCGTTTGTCCCTTCAGCTGCTCAGCCTCCCCCCCAAACCTAAGCAGCTCCTCGCCACTCCCTCCTTTCTCATTCCGCATTCTCCTTTACTCAGTTGCGTTTTCACGTTGGTTTTTGTCCCCGACACAGACCGAGTTACTCTTTGTGACAAAGGTCCGAGCAGGGATTTGGGGGCTCCTGGCATCCCGGGGACGAGCCATTTCCCCTGAAGATCCAGCGACCTCGGTCAGCGGGGGGCTGGGGGGGGACAGCTGCCTTCGGAGGAAGCTGCCCAGTCCAGGTGACCCGTCCGCGTGGTTGGTGGCCGAGGAGTGGCGCCAGGGGGGAGCGTGCACAGATGGGCATCTGGAAGCGTGTCGCACTTCTCCGCTCAAATTCGGCCGTGCTCTCCAGAGGGACCAGGCGCTTCTTAAAAATCACCCACTTGTGATTCGTGTCTATACCAACCGGTCCTACCAATACCAACTAGGATGTTAACGGTGTCAGCGAAAACCCCGGCACGCTCGCTAAACATTTAGTGACTACATACACATATAAAAATATATGTCATACATATATAATATAAATTTCCGTGTGCAATCCGAGTATCCCCCGGACTGAGCTGGAACACCGGCCGACCGTACCAGCTCGTGCAGCGCCGCTCGCCGCCGCCGCCCTGGAGGCCTGAGGCCGGCCAGGCTCTAGGGACGAGGGGCGGGGGTGAAGACTGTGGGTCAGCACGTGTCCTCCAAGTCCCTGGAGCTGGAACTCAGGGGCAGAGTCCCAGGGTGCTCAGGGAAAGGGAGGAGCCGGCGTCGCCGTCCCTGGTGGGGGCAATGCGGGCGGCGGGGCCCTCTCCCGCCGTCATCGCGTTGATCGGAATCCCGCGGATGTCGCCCGAGTTCAGGAAGGCTTGAGGAACTTCGCCACTCGGGAGAGGCAGCTCTTTGCCGGGAACTCCTGTAGGCCTCAGCTGCAGGGACCAAGACATCACCATGGGGACGTGGTCGGACAGTCCCCTAGGAAGCAAATCATCCAGGTGAACACCCTACAGATTTTTTTTTTTTTTGCTTGTTTAGGTCTTGTGGGTGATTTTCTTTCCCCATTTTTTCCTATTAACAATTATAAATGGATTGGATCCACGCTCTGATTATGTTTACACACAACGTTTGTAATTCGTTGAGAGTCTGGATTGTAATTTTAAAACACCAGGATAACCCTACAGGGACATTTAAGACAGAGCAGAGAGCATGTGTATCCCCTAAACGACAAAAGGCAAAAAGCGTGCTCGGGCTGGAGAAGGTGCCCCTAGAACCCTGGGCGCCAGCGCGGATGCTCTCTACCCAGGGCACCCAGAGGCCCGCGGGGGCTCCTTCCCACGCCCAAAGGGTCGCTGAGCCTAGCTTGTCCTCCACGTCCAGGTTCCAGAGCCTGTTCACTGGAGAGGTGGAGCAAGGGGTAAACTGGTGGACTAAAGTTCTCTGGCTCAGGTTGCAGGAACCAGGAGGGCCAAACACCTGGAGAATTCAAGAGAGGCCATCTGGCAGGAAGATGTCCGGAGAAGAGACTTGAAGAAGCTGTGGCTGAGAAGGCACTCATCGCCCAGGCAGGCTGCAGGCTGGGTCTGGGACCTTAGAAGGCCCTAGCGGAGAACAGCCGGATGTTGCCCCTGTAGTTCCTTAATCACTACTTTGCTTTCCCCGTGTGATTTTGGGGAAGGGGGTGGGAAAAGAGCATTTCCAACTTAAAATCTCTGAACATATGTACGTCTTTCCATGGCTTTAGCTTTGACTTTCATCCATCAATCAGTATTTATTAAAGTTGGAAGCCATGGATGATGGTTAGTTAAACAGAACCCTCTTCCTCATCACCCTTCCAGCATCTGAGAGTGGCTTTGCAACCATTCTTTCTTCCCCAACCCCCTTAAAATAACTCCTATTTTTGGATTCTTCTCCAAGCAAGTGAGAGCAAAGCTGGGACTAGCAAGGAAACATGCCAAGAGATCAGACCAAGGTATGAATGAGATTTGGTTCCCAGCCATGTGCCCGTGGGTGGTCCTATTAATAGTTAGGTTTGCTATTGATTACTGTCCAGGGTTTCCCTGGCACTGGAAGCTGGCAAAACTTTGCCCCATCTGGCTAGCAGAATGTCCCCCACTCCAAGCAATATCCTCTCTAAGGTGGAAGCCAGGGGTTGCACTCCCTGACATGCTAATAAGCTGACATGGTAATTACACATGACAGGTCACAGGTTCCATGACACATGAATAAGACAATGCCACCCTCATGCACATAACATGCTGCGAGGGTAGAAATTCTTTCCTGCTCATGGTTGACAATCTAGTACATATTCATTAACAATGGTACAGGGAGAAAGAGTGAAATGCAAGAGAGATTCTGCAGGGTTCCCTTACTTAATGGGTTTGGAAGGAGACTTTATGCCAAACTTTTGCCCTTCTAATTCTGGTTCTTGAAATCCTAAGTGGCATTTCAGGAGCATTTCTTCAATGCATGTTTTTCACCCACCTCCACCTCTATTCAATATCTCCACTGACTTAATTTGAAATATTGCAATAATCAAAGGAAGTAGGGTTAAAAACACATTTCAAGTAGTAAACTGATACAGAATATATTCTTTATAGGCTGGGGGGCCCAATATATTCAGTGGGGACCTAGTATAGTTTCTCATAGGCCCATCTGCTCCTCAGACCACTGGACACTGACTTTACTTACACCACTGAGGTCTTTAGCTAAAGACACCAGTGACTTTTGCATTTGCAAATGCAATAAGTATTCCTCAGGCCTTATTTTGCTAAATACTTGTGCTGTGATTGACAGTGCTGAGCATCCTCTTTGTGAATTTTTTTTCTCCTGGCCCTCTGTTTCTCTGACAACTTCTTTTGGTCTTCATAGAGTATTCCTTTTCCTCCACTCACTCCTTAAATATTGATATGCTGCAGAGTTCTGTCCTTAATTCTTACTATCCTTCACAATAAATAGGTGGTTCTTAAAGCATCTTATATGTTATATCTTAGTCTGTTTCATGTCTTAGTCTGTTTTGTGTTGCTATAAAAGAATACCTAATACTGGGTAATTTACAAAGAAAAGAGGTTTATTTAGCTCATGGTTTTTCAAGCTGAGAAGTTCAAAGGCATGGTGTTGGCTTCTTGCTAGGGTTTTCATGCAGCATCACAACATGGCAGAGAAGTTCAAAGGGGAAACAGACTCATGCAAAGAGAGAGAAACCTAAGGGACATCTAGTTTTTATAACACCCTATTTTATCGGGAACTAATTCATTCCCACCAGAACTAA